GAGCAGAAAGCATGCTCCCATACGAGCAGAAAGCATGCTCCCGAGCAGAAAGCATGCTCCCATAGCAATTGATTATGAAGCCGACTGATAAATGTGCCGATGGATTGTTAGATAGCTATCTAGACCACTCGAGCAGAAATCGTGCTCCCGAGCAGAAAGCATGCTGCCAGAGCCGATTGCTAGATAGCTACCCGAGCAGAAAGCGTGCTGCCAGAGCAGTTTAAAGTGACCGCCAAGTCTTCAAGGCCCTGCAGCTGTGAGCATTAAGCTGGTTACCCGTGTGACCGCCAAGTCTTCAAGGCCCTGCGGCTGTGAGCATTAAGCTGGTTACCCGTGTGACCGCTAGTCGGTTGCAGCTGGCTCAATCAATTGGAACTCACTCGTACTGTACAGGTTTTGCTGGCACGAAGTATGCCTAAAGTTCTGCGGAAGCCGGCAGGAAATGCTCGCAAGAAGGCCCCGCGCGGCAAAGCAGACACACTAGCCGGGTCAGCCATGAAATCATGGCTACAGCATCTAAAGGGTGTTGGCCCTACCTGGTGTTACGTTTTGCTTTCAATGTGTCACCTTCTGTGTTGTAGAGTGACGGAGGTTCTCCGGCTTCAATTCAAGCATATCGATCTCGATAGTGGGCGTGTGCAAGTTGGGGAGCTGAAGAAGCAAGAGAAGATCTTGAAACCGCTCACAGACACAGCGAAGACTTTCTTCACACAATTGCGAGACAACGCTGGTCACTCTGAGCAAAGGACTCGCCGTTGTGGGAGCCGAGGGTACGTCACCTATCAAGACTCATGGGGCTGGTCAGCAGATCCCGAGGCATTCCTCTTCCCCGCGACCCGGAAAGATGCTACTGCGAAACACATGAACAAGGCCCATAGACAGTTTTACATCTTGTAGTTTGTGAGCATTACAGTGCTCGTGTTGTTCACAGATAATACGCGTAGGCCTTCTTCAACTTATCTCGACAACCAGGACACCGCATCAGCAGCTATCAGAAGGGCCCGAGCATCCTTTGTCCCGCCTGCTGGTACGGACGTGAAAATAGGCAACATACGGAGCCACTCGAGTCGGCAACGTGCCATCAACGACCTGAAGGTCACGGGTGTCAGCGCTCCCGTCGGTAAGCGCTTTGCCCGTATCGTTAGTGACCGAGTTTGGGAAGGCTATGGCCAACTCACAACAGACCAAGTGGATGCAGGCCTGAAACAAGCTCCAGCCTTTCAGCAGATGCAAAACGAGATCTACCATGATGCTTGATGATGCTCAGTGCTCGGCCAGATGCTCGCTACCCCGCCGATCTTTGTCATTCGCATAGCCTGATGGTTAGGAGCACAGATTCGCAGATGTGTTTGCCAAGATGGTATGTCTATTGTTCATGAATATTCATGAAATCCCCGGGTGGATGATAACGAGTTCGCTTCGTGCTCTTGCCATCAGCGCAAATTTTCCATCGAGTGCATTGAACAAACTCAGCACGGTAACCACATGCATTTAACTTTTCCAAACACACAGCTTGATCCTAGGTCCACTCATAGTACGTGCTACTGTTGTGAATGCACACTACTCGAAATTGGCTGCAAACAGCTCTGTGCGAGCATGCTCTCACAGTTAACGATCAGACCCTTGCCATCGGCGCAAGGCGCTTTTTTAACATCGACACCAACCTTCCTTGACTGCAGTAAAGCACAAATCTTGGCCCGATGTTGTTGTTGTCACTCCCCTGCGGCCCAGGCGAACGACAAAGACGGGCGAGCTGGAGAGGACCTGACCTCGGATTTGGGTTTCGGGCTGTAGGGTTGAAATTTCGGTGGGATTGACTAGGGATTTTGGTATTAAGTACAGGTTTTACGTTTGGGCTTGTAAGGTCTACTGGACGGGGCTTGATTTTCAAGTTTTTGGCATATGTTTTATATTTCGGACTGTGCGGTTTAGAACCGGGGTGGGATTGATTGTAGATTTCGGGCTGCAGGGCTTCAAATTTGCGTGGGATTGACCTTCGAATTTCTGGCATCAAATATTAATGGTATTTAAGGGTTTTGGCTGTAAGTTTTAAGTCTGGGATTGGAATTGGATTGATCTTCACTGTCACGGGTTCGGCAAACACAATGAGTGACAGGTTTTAGGTTTCGGGCTGTAGGGTTTAGAACCAGGGTGAGTGCAAATCAGATATGTTTTGGGCTTGATCTTCAAGGTTTGTGAAAGTCACGAATTCTATAGGGAAAGAATTAGTTTTGACAGTGGGATTGGTTTCAAGGTTTGGGCCAACTTTAATAATATGCTTTAGGTGTCGGGCTGTAGGGTTTAGAGTCGGGGCAGACAAAGGACTTGTGGTTGACAGCTTTCTTTCTGCCTCGCGCTGCAGTGCCAGAGTCAAGGGCGGGCTGTCAAAATGTATGATCTTCGTAGCCCCAAAAGACTATCGCATACTCTTCTAGGCTATTATTGTAGCGTACTAGAGCAGATCCTGTGGGCCCATCGATCACATCACAGTCCGGTCATGTCAGAATGCTCATGTTGTTCAGAGCAATCGCATCACTTGATCGGATGCTAGCTCCACGTCCCGCTCCACGAAATAGAGTGGCTTGCCTTTCAATGATTATTATGCTTTTGCCAACAACAAATAGACATCCACATCCAAAATGCATGGTACGGCTGTTTATTTTTGCTGAGTTTCGCGGCGAGACTTCCTTAGATGCGGGTTGAGTGCTGGTGTGTACTCGCGGACTCACGTTAAATCCCCTCACCCATTGAGCCCAGCATCGTTTCGCTCAGGGGCCATGCAGACCCTCCAGTACATCGACAACGCCCGGGACGCCAGGAGCACCTCAGAACCGGGTTTTAAGCCTTAGTACGGGTTTCGGGGGTTGGAATCTGTAGTGTAGAAATGTGTAGAATCTAACTTGTGGGGTTTCCAGCTGACTGAGCTTTATTAAGTTGAGTATTTCGCAAGATTCCCGATGTTTAGATAGTTTCGAACACTAAGACTAGCAAAATAAAGTCACTGATTTCAATTCGCAGCAATAACAACAAGTTACAGGCAACTGGTCAGGGCGGCACTGATCTGTAAAGTAAATATAGAATAACAATAACAGTAGCAAGAGTTACAATAGCAATAACAACAATAACAATCACAATAGCAATAACAATTACAATACCCTTAACTCTTAACCTTCGACTGATTGTTATTGTTGTAGTTATTGCTATTGTTATTGTTATTGTTATTGCTATTGCTATTGTTATTGTCATTGCTATTGTTATTGTTGTTGTTATTGCTATTGCTATTGCTATTGCTATTGCTATTGCTATTGCTATTGCTATTGTTATTGTTATTGTTATTGTTACTGTTATTGTTATTGTTATTGTTATTGTTATTGTTATTGTTATTGTTTGTTGTTTTTATTATTACTACTAGCAGTAGTAGTAGTAGTAGTAGTAGTAGTAGTTGTTGTTGTTGATCTTGTTATTATTAGTACTATGATTTTTTATCAGTACAATGTGCAATCAAACGACTTCGCTGGAGAACGCGGAGGCCACACTCATGTACTTCTGAGCTCCAATCGCTGTCCTTGCCACCATCGTGTACTGATAATAGATCGGTGAGGCCTTGGGTGAAATCTCGAAGCGGTCGTCACCTTAGAATAACGATTGTGCTACATTGTTGTGATCGAATTACTTTTGTTGTGCTTGTGTTATGGTTTATGCATTGCTAATATTGCCACTGTTGCAGTCCCAAAACGAAACAAGCGGCTTTTTAACCCTGGCCCTGTGTTCAGTAGCCACAGCCAGTACAGTTCACATGTCAACGTATTCGCGACCGAAGGGGATCGGGGCTACATACACGGATGCACAAACCAGTCCATTTCATGCTGAATATGTAGCATCAGCTGAAGCATTCACTAAAATAGATTGGAGCTGAAAAACTGAATGTATCAGACCCGGACCATCATCACCCCCTGCATCAGCATCACCCACACCAAGAAAATCTCAGGATAATTCATGGGTCATCCTAAATTACAAATTGTCCCAAAGCCCTCTCGTCACACAGATCGACGGAAGTAGCAACAAAGGCCCAACAGTTAATCTCCAAATAAATGACACTGACTCCACTCCTGACTTCATAAACAACCCTAGACACCCCTAAACCTCCCCACACCTTAAATAAGCCGGAGTTCTGAACCCTTAGACCCTAAACTCTAAATCCTGCACAAAACTTCCTAAGCTACACTCATGAACCCTGAAATAATTCTAAAAAACCCTAAACACCCCTATCTAAACCTCCCCACGCCTTTAATAAGCCGGAGCCCTGAACCCCTAGACCCTCAATTTTAAATCGTGCACAAAACTTCCTAAGCTACACTCTTGAACCCGGGAATAATTCTAAACAACCCTAAACACCCCTAAACCTCCCCACGCCTTTAATAAGCCGGAGCCCTGAACCCCTAGACCCTCAATTTTAAATCCTGCACAAAACTTCCTAAGCTACACTCCTGAACCCGGGAATAATTCTAAACAACCCTAAAAACCCCTATCTAAACCTCCCCACGCCTTAAATAAGCCGGAGCCCTGAACCCCTAGACCCTAGATTTTAAATCCGGCACAAAACTTCCTAAGCTACACTCCTGAACCCGGGAATAATTCTAAACAACCCTAAACACCCCTAAACCTCCCCACGCCTTAAATAAGCCGGAGCCCTGAACCCCTAGACCCTAAACTTAATCCTGCACAAAACTTCCTAGGCTGCTTCGAGATGCCTTCGGACGTCGCAGAAGGCCGTGCACAATTGTGCCCGTTTATGCATGCGTCGACTAGTCCTGCTTCTTCTAGCTCCAGCATCATCTGGCGCAAGCTGCACGGTTCGCTGTCGGAAGCTTTGCCATTGATGTTGACTTCCATGACCACAGTCTCTGCATCGTTGTTCCAAGCACACTTCACCAAGTTGGGGATTTGGCCTGGCATAAAGAAGTAGCGGGCATTCGAGTAACAGACTGACATGTGAGCTATCTGTCACTGCGCTGCATGATCTGCTGCCAGCATCCTCTGACAGGCGCATCGGCGAGCTGACAGCTGTGCGAGGCCAGTCAGTGGTGAGAACACGTTCAATCTAAGCTGCAAAATCATGCCGGCTACCTAGTAGTCAACTTTCAAGAGTGATCACAATCCCCTAGTTGATTGTGTCGTTGGCAAAATGTGCCCTCACTCATAGTCGGCGCTTGGAACGGTCGCTTTGGCTCATGTTGTTGATCCAATTGCGGCGCACGTCGCTCTTCTGCCACCTCAGGATAATTGGGGTCGTGGGGTCCGGTTGTTGGTCAAGGTTCGAGGTTTCGATTTGGGATGATGGTGCTAGGCCGTAGCCCTGGGTTTGGGAGCTTCGGTGTTCAAGGCTTTCAGGTTCCAAGGTTCAGGGATTTTGCGGTTCGAAACCCGCTAGTATAATGAGACCCAAACTTCATGCCATCTACTTCATAGCCTGACATTCTGTTCATGCCCATACTCTAAACCTCAGTGTCCTCAATTATTGTGCACCGAAGATCCGTTACCTTCAACTTCAATAATCAAGCTGTATTCGTATAGCGTTATAATAAGAATAGGATGGTTCTCGATTTCGATGTTCTTAGATGATATTATGCTCGTTTCGTAGCAGTCGGGCAAGCTCATCAATATTCAGATTTTAGCGGGCTCAATACTCGACCCCCCTTTAATGCTTCCCGGGTGCTCTTCACGAGCAAGCTTCTTAATCTCCTTGATGTTCATGTCCGGGTGCTCTGCTGTTAAGCGAGCCGTCGCAGCATTGACAGCTTTGTGGTACTCGCTGAGCATATTCACACCTAGCTTGCCAGTTGCCGCGGCACCGTCATCATTGCCCTCGCTGGGCTCCTGGAGTTGCGGGGTTAAGGGTTCACTAATTTAAGCTATTGGAGTTTGGGTGTTAGTAGTTGAAAGCTTAAGTGCTTAGGGGTGTGTCGTTTAGGGACTTGGGGCTCAGGGATTGGAGCTCGAGGAAGAAAGGATATTGTAACAGGGCCGTACCCCCAAATCACCCTAAAACCCAAAACCTGTAAACCTCAAACCCCTAAACCAATCAATGATAATCCCTAAAGGGCTAACTCGCTTGAGGCTGAGGGTGTAACGGGTTTTACATGGAATCATGAGTACTTGGTTGAGTGTTTAGAACAAGGAAAAAGGCGTCAATGATTAGGTGTTGAATCGTAACAGCAGGCTATCTATTTTTTTGGTTTAGTTCTACATTGAACTTAGTAAGACTGTGCAAATTATGGACTTGCCCCATCCACCCACTCCCTTATGCATGGCCCTTCACTCGTCCTGGGTTTCGTTCTTTGCTTTGCCCTTTGCCTTGGCCTTGGCCTTGGCTTTCGTTTTCGCGGTGGCTTTCTTGTCGTCTTGCTGGCCCTTGTCCGTCTTGGCCTTGGCCTTGGCCGTGCCCTTAGGCTTGGGGAGTTTCTCGTCCCCTGTCTCGTCCTTTGTCTCCGTCTTAGCCTTGCCCTTTGCTTTGGCACTGCCGTCTGCCTTTGCCTTCTTCTGCTTCTTGTTACCTTTGTTGATCTCCTCGTCACTGTCGATCCCAAGCCCCTCGCCCTCGGCATCCATCTCCTCTGCATCCCCCTCCTCATCCTCATCGTCGTCCTCCTCGACGTGCTGTTCCTCTGTCTTGGCCTTCTTGCTTTTCGGGCCCTTCTTCTTGCTATTCTCGTTGTTGTCGCCGCTGTTTTTTTTCGCGTTTGCCCACCTCTGAGCTGCACTCATCTCTGTGGCCTGAGCCTTGTTGTCAGCTCCTGTCTTCGCCTTGTTGCCAGGAGCATCGTCGTCCTTTTTTTTCATCCTGTCCTTGGTCTGCTTCATGGCCAGAGCCAAGCTGTTTGCCAGCTCAGATCGCGTCCCCTTATTCATTGGGTCGGTCTTGGTTTCTGAATGCATCGGCAGCGGCGATGCTCTGGTTGTCGTTGGTGAAGCTGCTGTGGCCTGAGCAACAAGGTCATAGCACCATCGTATCACAGTGTGTTTATGCAACATCACAAAGTGCCTGCCTCACTTCTTGGGTCCCGACTGAGCCACCGAGCGGGCTGGCGGTTTCGGTTCGCGTGACAGGCGGTGGAGGTGTAATTGCAGCCGAAGGGGATTCTTCGAGCATGTTGTCCAGATCCTATCGGGGTGAGTGACAAGTAACAGGAGCACGCACAATGCCCGAATGTGACCCTGCCGCCCTGTCCTGCTTGAACCCATGCTTCGCCAGCAGCTTACTCAGCGCCATTGGTCACTGCGACTTTCTGGTCTAAAACCTCTAAGACTAACCTAAGCTACGAGAGGCACACTGCATCGCAGGAGCGTTTCAGATTTCAAGGCAATGCCAGTTCGAGGGACATCATGCTTATGGGTGCAGGCACACAATGAGAATAGTAGTGATTAAAACCCGCCTGGGGTCTCGCGAATGAGCTTCGTTGCCTTGGCTTCCTTAAGAAAGGTTGATCGACCGTGACCCAAGAGGAACTCTGACTTCGAAATGGTCACCGCATTGTGAGCCACCTTAGATAGAACCGAATCAACCCCACATGAACCTAAATTAAAGCTCTAAGTGTAAATTAAAAGACGAGCAAAAAACCCAAATCGCCTAAAATCAAAACCCGAAACCCTATAAAAGCCACTCAAACACTTAGCCGAGGGAAGGTACCAGGAACATTTTCAAGTCCTGATTCTCAACACAGTGCTCGGTCTTGCCGTCCCTGTCAGCTGCTTTCGTGATGAACAAAGATGCTCCCGGAACCCTTGCGGGAATCTTGTACTCGATATCGTACTTGGCAGACAGCTGGTCGAGGGTTTGGGGTTCGTCTGGCCATCCGCCCTTGTCTGAGGTAGCACCCTCTGCTGTGGAAGCTTCGGCATCGGCTGCAGGCGTGCTGGTGTTGGTGCCAAACCTCAACTTATTAGGCTTATCATCATGGTAGGGGTTCGGACCTGCGGGAATAAATTCATATTCTTGTGTATGTTTGCATAGATTTGTTGATTAAGTACTAGACAAGGATCTATAGGGGTTTAGGGTTTAGGGGTTTAGGGGTTTAGGGGTTTAGGGGTTTAGGGTCTGGATGCAAAAAGGGGTTTAGGGTTTAGCTTAGGGTTAAGAGGTTTGCTGGAGTGTGGGGGATTAGGTAAAACCGTAGCAGGCCGAGAGGCTGTGAATCGAAAGCCGCCACCAGTTCCAACCATTCCTGGCTTCGCAAGGGATCTGCGGCATATTTCGTCCGAATCTCCGTAGGCAGGGCAAACCGAAGCTTCTCCAAGCCTTTCTTGCTGTTGTCCAGGGTGCAGGTCACCATCTTCAAGGGGAAGTCTTTAAGGTCGAAGCCCGATGTCTGCTCCTCTGGGTTTTTCTCGTACTTCTTGTAGCTGGGCTCGGAGTGGAGGATGCTGTGATCGTTCTTCCAGTCCTAACTGAGATCTCATAATTACTTAGTGACATCAGGCTGGTCGTTATCCTTTCGAATCATCACACGGTCCTCCATTAGCGACAGGGCGAGCACCGATTGGGAGTACTGCATGACAGCAGGGTCTTGCCCGACTGACAAGCAGCAGATGCGAGGACGCTCGTCTTCCAGATGATAGCGGAACATTGCCTTTTCCAAATGCCCGTCGTAAGGGGTTAGGTTGATCACCCTGACGAATCGGCCGGCTTTGACAAACGGCAAAGTGGCACTGTTCTGGCCGGTGATGCAAGCGGTCATCACAGCCACAGGAAACTCGGCGCCTGCCAGGAGCTGCGCCGCCTCCTGGACGTCAGACAACGCCCTGCAGGGGTTAGTGTTATGAGCCTTTTTAAATCTATTTGAGTAGACGAGCTTGACTAAGTAACGATCCCGTGCCTTGCATCTCCAGCAGTGGACGGAGTGCAATCTTTCGCCCCATTCGGAACAACGTAGCTGCGTTCGGGCGCCCAGGGAATGGGCTCACGGGGCCCCCTGACATCATGATTACTAGGTGGCTTCTTACGTGTATGCTTTTAGGGTTTGGGTTGAGGGTCGTAGGGCAAGCTTCCACAGCATCACAGGGCCTAGGGTTCGAGTTCTGATTGTTAGAGGTTTGGCGTTCAGGAACGTAGGGGTTTGGATAGTTTTAGGGCTTTACTTTAGGGTTAAGGGTTCACTTCCGAGCCTGTCTGATCTCAAGCGGCACGAGCCAAACTCGTTGTCTGCCAATCCGGAATCATCAAAGACAAGCCATCCTGGCAGGTTCATCGGCACCGACTTCGAGCTTGGGGGCATCTCCATCCTCACGATGATCATCTCGGAGGTGAGATCCTTTGCCTCCAGCTTCTCTTCGATTCGCCTTAAACTCAATGAATGAATGCTAATAAAGATTGAACTCACTCCAGACAGAATTAATTTTGACAGGTCGCTTCATCTCTCCACGCAACCCATTCTTGACTTTGTCTGAGAGCAGGTACGGTGCCATAACGACTGCCATACTCGCGGTTGGTCTGCGGCTCAGGGTGTTCTTGAGCTGGGCGGCAACGGTGTTCAAGTCCTTTAGCGACAGCCGTCCGAGTTTGGTCAGATCAGCAACCACGACCAGAGGAGCATTGTCTGCCGAGCATTTGCCGATGAACTTCAGGGAACACGCGCAACACAAAGACGCACTGACTGACTAACAATCACACAATGAATTACAAAAGCACACAATGACTCAGGCTGATGCTTGGTTCATTGCGGTCGCGATGTCAGCGTCCGTCCCAGTGACATGCTTGCACCACCTGTCCATCGTGTTCTCGATCAGTGTAGCTCCCAAGGAATTCCTCAGTCTCAATTTGGGGTGATTAAGGTTATTTAGGGCTTGAGGCTCTCGGGGTTGGGGTTCTCGTGGTTTTGATTTGGTGTTCTCAGGGGTCCAGGCTTGGGGTTCTAATAGGTTGTTGTCTTTCTAAACCTTAGACCCCTAGCCCTACCTATTTACCCTCAGCCCGAGCAAACTGCTGAATCAGTCCAGTCTCTGCAGCCTCAGGTGCGTAACTTTTTGAAGGTGCCGTGTTCGTTCGGTCTTCTGGAAAGTATTGAACATCTTCCCAATCATCGCAATGTCAGACGCAAGCTTGAGAGTATCTTGTTCCCAAGTCAATCGCGATGTTTCGGCGGACATCTGGTTGAGGGAATTGTCGGCATTGGTCATTGCGGAGTCGCACTGTGAGAGGTTGTCCGCCCACATTGCCATGTGGTTCGGCTTGAATACCTGGCAGTTGGCTTCCAGGTGTGTGCCGGCTTCCTCGTGATAGTCCCTGAGGTGCAGGTCGCAGAATTCGAACTTGAATGACAATGTTGTATGCGGTTCGATCATCATTGACTGTGAACCCATTAAAATGGTTTTATTCTGGCTGAATGTGTCTGTCGAATTGAATGCTTAGCCAAAGGGACCCCTCCAAGATTCTGCGATTCACATCCTCCAGCACCTCTTTGGAGAAAAGGCTCTCCCCGGACGGATTGACAGCCTTAACCATAAGCTCATGCACGTTGCCCAACAAGGTCAGGATCTCTACCTCGCGGTCCCACTTCGGGAGCGACAATCTGCAGGACTGCGACTTGCTCGTCCTTTTTCGCAGGGTCCTCTCATGAACTTGTAGCAATCGCTGGAGAAAGAGTAGCTGTGTTGACGGCGTGACCCGGAGCAGTGTGTACCAGGGCTCCTGAGTCCCACTGGTAGTACTGCCCAAGTACCATCTGGCGCTGAGGAGGGTGTCTTTGTGGAAGGCTGCAGGGATGCAAGATCACAACCAAAATCCAATAGATTTGAGGTCGTTCTTAGTCTTAACTTAATAGTCATGTGACAGTCGAAGTTTCCAAACTTAAAGGCCTGAGTCCTCCTGCTTGAACTTGTGAAGATGCCTTTCAATCAAATTCCATCCTTCAGGACTCAGGCCCACCTCGAGCAGGCCAGGTGAACAGGTCATGCCAACAGCTCTTAGTGTGAGTAGGAGTGCATACAAGCAGCTTTCAAGCCAAACATCGCATTGGCTGTGCCACTGTCAATCTGATACTTGGAGCTCGTTTTGGCGGCCCCGTAGTTGTTGTACTCGCTGATGGCCGCCAGGAAAGCCTTGTGGTATGCTTCCTTGCTGTCCTTGTCCCCTGCCCCGGCCATGGCCTCGGCTTCAACTTAGTCAGTAAGTCGGCATTGAAGAGTTGAATTGGCAGTGCTGGTGGTGGTGGTGTTGTTGTTGGTGGTGGTGGCGGTGGTGGTGGTGTTGTTGTTGTTG